AACATGAATAACAGTACTTATGACCCTTTTAAGTGTATACGCACTTATATGGAAAATATAAAGAGACACATACTCCTCTCAGCACGTTCTCTGGATTACTTGATTAAAAGAAAAGAAACTACAAAGTTCTACCCATGCTGGATAGCAGTAGCAGTTATTTTTCATCATAGTTACAGGTTATCAAAGGCAAGGAGATTTGTCAATCATTTGATCCTAGAAGCCACCAAAAATGGATCATGAAACCTGGGGATTCAGAGTCTGATGAATTTCACGTTTTTGTACCAGTTGTGCATTCATATAATCTGAAAGTAGCTTCTCCATTCGGTTAACATCCTGCCTTTTGCATAGACTGTCAGGTTGGTAGGTCTCAGCCTAGAAAAATTTGGAAAGTAAACCCAAAGCCTTTATCTAAACTTCAGGGGAAATAGCTAGCAAGTACATTATACCTCACAACACTCAAATTTAATGTTTACTTACTGAGAGAAACTCAAATGTCTTTTCTCCATAAAGTCGATTAGCAGTTCTGAGGATGTATTTGGTCTCAGGGTTGTTAATTTCAGAGAGAAGCGATTGGTACCCATTGTGAGCATCCTCAGCTTTGTTCAAAGAAAGCACCTGCAGAGAGACAAATACCTTCTGTGGAGTCTTTGCCATCTCTGACACACTTGCTTCAGCACAATTGTTTTGTTTTCACATGAGTTTTGGGCTTAAAATCTGAGACTTGAAGCCAGCAGATTTTTCATTGCACAAGTCACATACAGTGCACCCAGACTGATGTTGTATGAGTAAGAAGTTATGCTGCCGAAAAGTGAGTGTATTTATCTTCATTCTGTCCAAGTGTTAGAGGATCACAGAACGGTTGAGATTGGAAGGGAGCTATGAAGGTTACTTGGTTTACCCCCCTGCTGTCTAAGGAATCCATCTAGCTTCCAAAGAAGTCTGAGTGCAGACACATTCTGCCCTTTTCTTAATGCTGCACATGGTAGTTCTTAGAGAAATTAGGCTTTATGATCTCCGCCCTACAAAGCCTAGGAAAACTCACTTAAAATCCAGAAACAAAGGAGCCTGAAGTTAAAAAAAAAAAAAAAAAAACAAAAAAAAAAAAAAAACCTCCACATAATTTTTCACATTGATTATAATAGCATCAAAGGATCTTATTAAATACCTTAGATGCAAATCTGATCCTTCAAGTGATAACAGGAAATACACTGCTGGAGCTGATGTTAACACAGCAAACATTTAAATTCCCATTAAAACAACATTTCAGCTTCATCCTCATTCTTCCTCTTGACTACTACCATAGGTACAAATGAAAAAGTATTGATGACCTACTCCAAATTACAACACCAGAAAGAGAGAGGCAGGCAGCACCTTAGTGAACATAGAATAAAGTGCACTACTTAATGATAGATTTGACCCTACCCTGTTACAACAGGCCCACCACTGCACTCCCAAACTGCTCTCCAGGTCACTGGATTACAAATTTACATTACGAATTTTACTTTTCATTGGCCATGCAGCTTTGCCTTGTTCTGAATCTTTGCTGGGGTACTCACTGAACTTCAGAGCAATGTTCTTAGCTCTGTATCACTTCTTTCTTCTGCAAGTTCCAGGATTAAGACTACAGGTTGTGAAAACATAAGCTAGTACACTGAACACGCAACTGGTTGGTGTTTTTTTTTTGTTTGTTTGTTTGTTTCTCAAAATCTGGGACTGTTTAATGTGACATGCTTATATGTTGGATATTCTTTCTCTTGATTATCTGGCTACATTTTTGAAGTATGCATAGTCTGATATTAAGCCCAAAAAGATAATGGATTATTTCCTCTTATTGGAGATTCATCTCTGGCTCTACAAATACAAATATTTAAGTAAAAATAAATAAATAAATAAATCCCAGCTGCCTCTTAATGACATATAAAAGGAAGATCTCCATATCACAAACAAAAACCCAAACATCCCAAAAACCAGGAATCTCTTAATTTCACACTGCAGGAAGTCCTCCTGTACATAAATTCTGTAGAAACAGGTTCTGCTTATGTACATACTTCAGGAAGACTTCTGACCTCTGAGGCCAGAGTGACTGTAACAATTTAGCAATTAGAGGTCACAGATTGCAACACAAATCTCAGATCTGTAGTTTATATATTATCAAATAGATGATATATGCATTAAATCCAATACATTAAGTTTGGATACATACCTTTGCTATTTGGGATTCAGTGTTACCTTTCGAACCCAACAAAATCATAGACAAAGCAGAAGAAATACTAAAAGGAGAAAAGAACAGATTCTTTGTGGTGTTTTTCTCATGCAGCTCTCTTAAGAGGTCGAGAGCAAAAGTGGAAACAGCTGTACTGAGGCTATCCATCATTCAAAGCCTAGGAGAAAAAAAACCAAACAAGATTGGCTTAAATTTATTTGATCACAAACTGACAAACTATTTATTTTACATTTCACAATATAAACCATACAGCAAATATCTTGATTTGGGTAGAAAGTTATGAAAAACTGGTTTGGTGGAATAAATATTTTAAATTCCATACAATGTACTTGAGGCAGTTAATGTTTTTATGTTTTAAAAATATATATGCAGCAAGAGCAATTCCCATTGGCACAGAAACAGATAATTATCAAGGTAAGAAAAGACCACTAAAATCATCTAATCCAAATGTCAACCTATCCCCACCACGTCTGCTAACCCACATGCTTCAGTGCCCTATCTAGACATTTCGTAAACATGTCCAGAGACATGACTCCACCACTTTCCTGGGCAGCCTGTTTTCAGTGCCTCACCACTCTGAGCAGTTTTCCATAACATCCCACGTGAACCTCCTTTGGCACAACTTGAAACAACCCTGTCTCATCCTATTGCTGCTACCTGGAGAAGAGGCCAAGCCCCATCTTACTACAACCTCCTTTCAGATCACTGTAAGAGTGGTAAGCTCTCCCCTGAGCCACCTCTTCTCCAGGCTGTACCATTCCAGCTCTCTTAGCCACTCATCGTAACACTTGTGCTCCACACCCTCCACAGCTTCATCGTCGTCCTCTGGACACACTCCGGGGCCTCAATGTCTTTCTGGTAGTGAGAAAAGTCATTGGTCTTCTTCAAGGAATAAATAATACTACATCTTTTGAGATGAGCATACTATGATATGACAGAACAAGTCTCCTCTGACTCTACAATTACTTGCCTTACAGGAAAACCGAAGCAGAAAAGCATCTGAATGGTAGAATTACAAACTCACCTTCTCAAAGTCTGCGTATCTTCAGTATTCCCTTCAAGCTTGCTTCTTCACTAGTGTTCTAGACCTAGCAGCCAGTCTGCCAGAAACCAACTGAATGAGTCGATCTATAGGATTCAAATGAAATTTATCTGGTCAGCATGACAGATTACTGCAGTTTCCTGCTGTGGTACAAAATCAAAGTCCTCTGCAGTTTGCCTTTTATTGTCTACATCATGGAAACAGATTAGTAAACTATTTACTTGGAACTTCATGGCACATACGTAGCTCAGTGCTTGTGAGACTTCACATACGTCAGCCGAGCAGGTAGCTAACTAGCCCGAAGTTATGCTACACACCTGCAGGAAGGTGCAAGGAGTACCAGAAAGCAGAGTAAATTACAGATAAGTGCCAGCTGACATTGCAGGATATCAGCTAGCAATAAAGATGTTTTGTTTTTTTTTCCCCTAAGGCAGTGCTTAGTGTTGGTACGTTGCTATAAAACAGAGCCAACACCTACTTTGTATTTATGATTCATCACCTCAAACAAGAGGTAGCAGCAAGTTTCCGCAGGCATGTTTCCCCTAAGACAAATTCTCGGCAGGAGCTTCGCTACGTTCAACAGCTGCAGCTGTACTCATTTTTCCCTCTGCCCGTAACCATAAAAACACCGACAAAAAAAAGAAACTCGCACTGAAACAGTCCTCCCGTTCTGCCTGAAGCAGGAGCGATTTAACGCCGAGCACCTTACAGCGCTAATAAGGCTGGGCGCAGCTCAACTGTCCGCGCTCTCCCTGCGGCTCAGGAGCAGGCTGAAGCTCGCGCCTCTCCATCGATTTACGCCTGTTTGCCACAAAACCCAGAGACAGGGCCGGATGACAGGGCTGCGGAGCACTGCGAGACCCCTCCCGCCGCCAGCACTCGGCCAACGCCCGGCAGCCTGGCACGCTGAAACCGCTCGGAGCGCCGCCGAGAGGGGAATGCCGTCGCCTCCCCTCAAAAAACCAACGCGTGCTTCCCGCAGAAAACGACAGCGCAGACGCTCCGCACTCACCCAACCGAGCACAAACGTTGCCCCGATCTCTGCCCCGCCCTTCTCCCGGAAGTTTTTGCCCAGCCACGGGCCGCCCATCGTGGGGGAGCGGGTTGGAGTTGAGCTGCGGACGGCGGCCTTGAGCCGTTCCCCGCGGCGGTGAGAGGCGGCCATCTTGGCTCGGAGCCCTTCGTGCCTTCGCGGTGCTCGCCTCGCTGCCTGATTTCCCCTTCTGCCTCCCCCTCCTGGTAGAGCCGACAGAAAGCACAACTAAGCTGCGAGGGGTCGTTTATTAGTAGTACTGCTACGTTTGAAGCAGGCGCTGCTTTGTGTAGTCAGCAGCGTGGGTCAGGCTCTTCTGCCACACCTGCGACTGTGAGAGGAAGCAGCCCGCGTGGAGCGTGCTGGTTATTTCTTCGGGGCAGTCAGTGGAATGGAGGTGAACTGGTGAAGGCTTCAGCTTGGGCTGTGTTTGCCTCTGTAACGCAAAGAGCCAGTGAAAAGCTAAAGAGGAGCAGGGGCTAATTGTGGCAGGGCGGGAGTGTGAAGATGCATCTGAATCAGGTGCTCTGCTTGTGCGAGTGAAGAGAGTGCCTCGTGTTCGTATGTGCTGCACCCACAGGCACGGCTGTAGCTATCTGGAGTAGCTGAAGCTTTGCCTCTGGCTGTGGAATATGCACAGAAAGAGTGCAGGTCTCAGTCCCCTCAGCTGCAGCAGGAGTACGGAGCTCTGCCCCTGAGCTGGCAAGCCAGCATCTCTTGCTCTGTAGAGCAGGGAGTAACTCTAAGGTGAGCAGAGTCTGCCAAAGAAGAGGATGGTTTTGGATTTGTTGTGTCTGATGAAGAAGAGAAAAGGGTGGTTGGCTTTGAAAATTACTCTAGGTGTTCTTGACCTCATCACTAGGACACCTGTGGCAGCTGCTGCCTCAGTACCTTCTTCACTGACCTCCACAAAAGCTTTGTGAATAACTTTTGATATGAAGAGATCCTTCTTTGCTGACATCCTTGTGAAATCAGCCTGAACAGGGTCAAAAGCATTTTGGATCCCCATGTTGCTCAAAGTGGATGTAAGATCATAATTTTCTTCCATCTTGAACTTGGGCAGGTAGAGTTCAACTTCGACTTTCATCATCATGGCTGAGTTTGACCATTCAGCTAATTTTTCGTGGGTCAGCTCTCTTTCTACCTGCAATGAATTTTAGAAGAATACATGATACAACAGGAAAAAATAAGGCATGCACACACTGGTGTCTAATGCTCTATATTTAAAAGGTCCAACTACCAGCTGTGGGTACAGCTGAATATCCACTAGGATATGGTCTCAGCATAGTGCTGAGTGACCTATACTCCTATCTATTTCCTTAAATGCAGTGAGGTGTAGAGTGAACCTTCCGAATAATTCATTATTTTGGAAGCAGATATGAGAAGTATTGCTTTTATGCAGTGTCCAGCTTAACCATATTAATAAGTGCGTGGTACGTGTAAATATATAAGGTATTTCTCTTAGTAGCGCTAAGTGGAATGCGTGGAACCTCAAGAACAAATAAAAAGATGTTTGCCTGATGTATTTAGATTCAGAAGCTAATCTCAGCATGATCATGAGTGGCTGTTCGTACCTCATGGGTCAAGGTAGTCAGCACTGAATTTGAGAAGCAGCATTAGAAAATATAAGGTGGAAATCCGGACTGCAGATGACATAAAATTGATGAGTAGAGCTCTCAGAAGATTAATTCTAGGACATGGTGGTTTAGACTTGGTTCTTGCTTTCATTATTCTGCTGTTCTGGAGATAGAAAAGGAGGCGCCAAATAGGTTGAGGGAGTATACTTTTTTAGATGTGTCGTCAGGTAGATTAATATGTTTACATCATTAACATGACCCGAAACCTAGACTGAGAAGTCGTTGTGTCATTTGAAGTTCATTCTTCCTCACTGTTTTCATTGATTTCTGTTGGTGCTTTGTAGTGCATGTGATGCAGTATGTCAGTTTTACCTGCTCCAGCCCAGTAGTGTTATCACTGATGTCATCTGGTAGGAGTATGAACATGCTGACTTCATTTTCCACATACGGCAGCTCAATAATTTTGAATTTCATTGTTTGTTCATGGAGTATCAAAAATGTATCTCTCAGAAACATCATCTGTACTGGTTTAGTCTTGGTCTGTGAAATGATTCAGATGTTTAAAAAAAAAAAAAGAAAAAAAAAGAAATTGTACTTTTTTCCATAAGGTGAATGGTAAAGAATACTTGCTTTGCTGAACTTAAGGCAAAAAAATTGTAAAGAAGTATAAGACTCAGCATCATTTGAATACTTCTCCAGTGCCATTTCTCCTGTTTTAAAGTCACAGAGATCTTCCCCCAAAAAAAAAAAAAAAAAAGGCATGGACACTACCTGATAATGTAATTACATGCAATGTATTTTCACTCTTTTGAAAGAGTTAGCTTTGATAGGCAAGTAACTACTTCGTATGTTTCAAGTTTTTCCCAAAACTTTACATTTCTCAAGTGAATGTGTTGATTGGGAGGAAAAAAAATCCAGACTTTCATTCTCTGGATGTCATCAGCTCTTTTGCATACTTCCAGACAGTGCTGATTGATTGAATTTACTTATGAACCATATTTGCTGTGACCTCTGCTAGCTTTTTCTCTTTCCCAAACTGTAGAAGTTTGGATTACTAGAAGAAATTATATTACACAATAATCTTCTGAACTGTTATGCTGTATTATGTTCAGAGACCAGTGATGTATCCACTCTCTCTTTTCCATTGTTACATAAGTGCAAAAGCTTATCTGTTAGCAGGCTTTGCTATCAGCCACCCAGTGAACGAAACCCTTTCTGTGCACCACGTTCGATTACAGGTCCTAAAACTGCACATGTAGCGTAGTAGTTTTCAGATAACACAACCACAGTATCGACACAGTTGCTTGACATCACCAGGCATACAGAAGGTGTTTGCACTCATAATCTATGTCAAACAAGGTAAGTGTTTCGATTGAAAATTCTTTTTGCTCACCTTTGACACAAGCCAAAAATATGCATGCTGTCAGCTACTGGGAATTGTCCGAGCACAATCACTGAAATACTGTAAGCTTGGTTGTGCCCACAGTGCGTGATGAACACATCATCCGTGTGCACCTGGCTAGAATGACAAACCCTCTTGGAAATTCCCCATGAGGTTCTACGCAATGGGCAGGGTATTTGGAAAGAACATTGAGTTTAGATTAGTTGAGCTCAGATTATACAGCCTCTGTCTGAAAGGCATGAAAAGAGACCGAGGTGTCCAAGTACTGCTCTCAGAAGTAACTGAATTTCTTCTGAAAATGGTATCTCAGTACTTAGAGAAATCTCGTCTTGTCCTTAAGCTGCTTAACCATGGTGTTTTCAATTATTTTGGTTCCAAGAAGTTACTAACTTACCTGAAAATCCATTCTTGTGCATCTGTGTAAGTGAGACTGTTGATTTATTTTCAGTGTTGCTGTTCTCAGAGTTTATACCATCTGCTTCTACTATGAGTGCTGTTGCAGTGGCGTATGAAATGCACATGAAATATTTAGGGAATTCTTGTTCTGCAATAATAGACATTTTGAAGGAATTTACCTTGCTTAATCTGAAGGGCATCTCAGATGTATCTTTTTTCCGAAATCTCTTTTCCCAGTTTCCTTTGAAGTAAATAGCATTTACTAAGACCAATATAGTATGAGAATCAAGAGATCCTGCAGGTAGCAGATTCTGGATCTTCCCTTAAAAATCAATCAAATAGAACTGTTAATTCAGTATGACTGCACGACTCACCAGTTTCAGATGTGCTTTCTCTGTGCGTAGCTATCTAGCAAAAGTGTTTGCACTGAGATTTTTCCCCTGTACATTTTTCATGGTGTACGTATATAAAAGGCTTTTGAAGCATCGCTATTTTTAAGAACATTTACTTCAGTTTTAGTAGTAAAAGATGTTAAGTGTGTAAAGCTTTTCTGAAGAAGAGCTTCTGTGAAGTTAGCTGCAACCAATTGAAGCTTGCAGAAATAAAACTTCATTAATCAGAGTGGACTCATCCAGTATCTACTTTTGCTTCCTTGTGAACAGAAATAATTCAGAAGAGGATATGATGTGAAGAGTCAAGGGAAAGGCTTTGCAAGGGGCAACAGTTAGTTTTGGTGGTAGGCATCCTTCAAGACATTTAACTGCAATTTATTCATCCTTTCCCCCTGGTTTCTATCCTTTATGGATCCTTTACTGCAAGAGCAATTCAAGTGGAAACGCAAATGATTTTGAAGTCAGAGAAGAAAAAGTTGCAAAAGCAATACTTACTCTCAGTTCCGTTTTCAACCCAGGAATTGATCTGTGCTCTGGCTTGTTCCACATCTGTCTTAAAGTTCACAGCTTGTGGCTTTGCTTGGTAGTATTTTGTGATGAGTTCTAAAAATTTCTGAACGATAGAAATGGAAAATGTGTGCGTATATAGTTAAATTTAAGCACAAAAATAGTAAAAAAGATAATTTCAACAGATAATGCAATCTACTAATAGAGACTTGAAGAAAATGTAATTCATCTGAAACTAGATAACTCTTAAAATAAATTCTGATACATTCTATGATGATGGCCACTGAGATGATCAGAGGGCTGGAGCACCTCTCCTATGAAGAAAGGCTGAGGGAACTGGGCTTGTTTAGGTTGGAGAAGAGAAGGCTCTGCGGAGACCTCATTGTGGCCTTCCAGTACTTGAAGGGAGCGTATAAGCAGGAGGGGGAACGGCTGTTTACAAGGTTGGACTGTGATAGGATGAAGGGGAATGGTTTTAAACTAAGGGGAGGTTTAGGTTAGATTTTAGGGGAAGTTTTTCACTCAGAGGGTGGTGATGCACTGGAACAGGTTGCCCAAGGAGGCTGTGGATGCCCCATCCCTGGAGGCATTCAAGGCCAGGCTGGATGTGACTCTGGGCAACCTGGTCTGGTGGTTGGCAATCCTGCATGTAGCAGGGGGTTGAAACTGGATGATCTTTGTGATCCTTTTCAACCCAGGCCATTCTGTGATTATGATTCTATATTAAATAATGAGCAAGGACTGCTCAAAGTTCAGTATTTGTGTTTCACAGAAAACAGTACTTCAGATTTTTGTGTTTTAAATCCAATGTACAAATTTGCAATTTTGAGATCCCGTGAAATAAACATTCTACACTTTTTTAAAAAAAATTTTTTTTTATTTCTCAGAAGAGCTTGAAGTGTATGTGTGTATTATGTTTTATGATATTCAGTACAAGAGGAAGAATAGCCTCACATTTGCTTCAGAGTCAAGGAAGCTGCCAAGAGTTTGTGAGGTCAATAGAGGGTCAGACATAAAGGGAACGTGATGGTAGAATAAACTAGAACTGACTTTTACACTGCTGTCTTCTGCGAAGTTGTTCATGGAAATTCCCAGCAGGAAATCCCTTGATTAGTCTTAAACCATAGTTACACAAAATTGTGTAGAATGTGAGCAATAAGCATTCAGTAGGACTGATTTAATTTAATGACTGAATAATTACTCAGGAGACTAAAACTACCTCCAAGATGAAAGAACGGTAACCTCATTTAACAGTACCTTCCAAGGAGCTGGAAGGTGATTAATACAATGTCATTTCTTAAAAAGATTTCAAAGATACAGGGAATTACAAACTCATGAGTCTGCTCAGGGCAAATGAGTAAGCGGGCCTACTGGGCATGTAGATGAGCATGGTGTATTGAAACAGCATTCTGTAATAGGAAGTCCTACATCACAAACCTTTTGGAGGTTTTTGAAGGTGACAAGAAGCCTACAAATGACAAGGTCAAACCACTACAGCCAATCTGGATTACCAAAAGGCATTTTGGAAGACTTCTCACCAAAGGCTTTTGAGGAAGCTGAGTATCCATGGGACCGCAGAGAAAGGTCTTGTTTAAAAGGCTGGAAACTAAGAGAAGGAGGAAAGAGATTCGTGTAGTTCAGCTGTAGAACTCTTACAGTTCTAAAGGCTGCAGTAGATTTAAAAGGCAGAACATTTGGAAAATTGTGATTGTCAGATATGTATGTCAAATGCTCTTTCTGTAAAAATATTCTTAAGCAGAAATGTTCAACTCACAGGCAGTAATGGGTAGGTCTTGTCCTCAAACAGTTGGTTAGCGCTTTTCAGTAAGTAAGTGTTTCTAGGTCTGTTGATGGCAGAAAGGAATTCTTTGAAGCCAGAGTGGATGTTTTCAGTTTCCTCATACTCAGCACCCTTGGAGAGAGGCACCAATTAGTACGGAAATATTTATGTCTGAAGCGTTACGCCTGCTGTGGTTATTTAAAATCCCCAGATCGTTTCAATTTAGAAAGCGTGTGCAGGATGGAGCTCGTCGTAGGCTATCTGTCACTTTTGCAGCACTGTGCGTAACTGGATAAAATGTTTTATGCCTCTGGGGTTATGATTTCATTCTGTGGAGCTGCTTACACCTTTGAGGACATCAGCTGTCCTCAGATGGTGCACCCAGGATCATCATTGGATGACCTCGTTTCAGTCACACTCAAGCCTAATTTTGATTATTACAAAAATCATTAAGGCAGCATTGCAGCTTTTGAGGAGCTACTCTGTTCAGACGGGCACTAATGTCAGGAAATGGAGTTGATTCGGATTTTCTGTTTGATGTGAATTTTGCTGTTGCTGTTTGGAATTTGGAAGGAGCCTGTCCAGAATGTGGGTGTTGATGGTTTTAGAGAGCAGGATCTTTCTTGTCAGCTGTGGCTTTGGTACTATGGGGGTAAGCTGCTTGTCCCCTGCTCCCTATGAGCCAATTCAGTATAATTGCCTGCTCTGTGGCAAATACCATGCACTACATGTGAGACACTGAGATTCTGACACTGAGATTCTTTGCTGCTGGTGCATGGGGACTTGTTGTAAGATTGGTGGGGAGGCATTCCTTGCTCTGATATTTTTTCACGCTAGCTGAGATACAGGCTTCCAGAAAGAACATGTGGGGAAGAAATTGGTAGTCAGAGAACGGAATAGTAGATAGGTTTTGCAAGGCAATGGGAACATAGTGAAGAGGTCATGGAGAGAAATGTCTGGAGGACTTCACCAGGCAGACCTTGCTACAACTTACAAAGGCAGTGAATAGCTAAAATGAACGTGGACATAACGCTTTGTCTTGAATATTAATCCAGATGGAGAATGGTGTAACCGCTCCTTTTTATTTCCAGTTTTTCTGACTTGGTTTCTTTGAGCTCTCCTTTAATTTCTGTGCTAAAAAAATGCAGCTTGTTTGAGTTTACAGACTTTTGAAGCTTAAGGAGTCCGTTTGAAGAAAAAAAAAAAAGTTCTGTGCAGTTCATCTTGCTGTCAAGTCTTTGTGGAGCTGATGAGCAAGGGTAAATCAGTGTGTTAGCTGAGAGGGGCATTTTGTTTGTCTGATGTGTGATGCATGGCAAAGGTGGAACGGAGTTTAAGAGGGCAGGAGTGGAGTCAGATGTGAAGGCAATGGCTGTTTTACAGTCCGGAAAAAAAAATAATCCTGAAGTTAGTAGGAATATTAGTTATTCCTATTGCCATAGACCAACTAAAAGCAAGTAACAAATGTGAAAGTCAATCAGTGTCTCTGTTCTGCTTTGAAGTTCTGAGTTCGTGAGTTTTGCAGTAATATTACCTGCTTGTTCACATTTTTTATGCATAGTTCTTACTGAAATGGGACAGTGGGTATAGACAAATTTTAGAAGGTTAAAGCAGTGGTGCTGAGCTATCCCATTCTCAGAGACGTGTTTCTCTGAGTCTTGTCGAAATAAATACCATGTCTCTTTTCTTTGGTCTCCCCAGAGAAGATGCTGTCCTCTCAGAAGGGCTTTCTTCTCTTGCAGTCTGGTTAAAATGAAGAACCTGTGGCAGTGATAGATTTTCCTAAGAACGGTTTGTTCTGTGAAGATAAAAGTGCTCTAGTGTTATGTAATGATGTTAGTTTTCTACTTAGGATAATTTAGCGATTGTACCCTGTAAGTCTTTTAAAGTTATAGAAAACAAGACCTTACTCCAGATTTAGATTCTATAACCATACCATAATAATATAAATTTTAGTCATATTCACTACTTAACAACATATCAATATGATTGCTCAGACATGAATTTATTTGGAAAAATGGTCAAGTCATGCTTAGCAATGTGAAATTTGTTTTCAGATCATTGTCAGTCAGAACAAACAACACGGTGTGATTCAGAGTCTTACTATTGGGGCACCAATGTACAACTCAAGTACATTGCACAGAGAAATGCATATGTGAATGCATATAATCTAGGAGTACAACACTGAAATTTTTGCAAAAGTCATAAGTGGTATCATATTTTCATTTCTAGTATACCCCCATTATTCACAGAATAACAGAATGGCTTGGGTCGAAAGGGACCCCAAGGATCATCAAGCTCCAACCCCCCTTCCACAGGCAGGGCCACCAACCTCCACATGTAATACTAGACCAGGCTGCCCAGGGCTCCATCCAACCTGGCCTTGAACACCTCCAGGGAAGGGGCACAGCCTCACTTGGGCAGCCTGTTCCAGCACCTCAGCACTCTCTGTGAAGAACTTCCCCCTGATATCCAGTCTAAACCATTCCTTCTTCATGGGTGTATTGTCTTATTTATGGACTAACCATGTCACAAGCAAAGAAAGATGTTGCTGCTGTGCAGCCAAGCTTGGGTTCAGAGAGCTTACTAACTGGGTGTGGAGAATGAGAATGTCTCTAATGTCAGTAACTTCACTCTGCCAGACCAATTGTATTGCTCTGCCAACTAATTGTAAGCTGAATGTAGAGGTAGTAGCAGAGAAGGGAGCTCTTGGAAGTAAATTGTAAGAACAGTGCCCTGCAGGACTGCGTGCAGTGTTATTTCTTGCAGCCAACATGATAACAAATCGCTGTTCTCTCATGTTGCTCCTTTTTGTTCCGTGTAGGCAGGTGAATAATGCATGTCATGTGGGAGCCAGCTTTAAGGTGATACACTGCTGATTTCAGAGCTTACCTTTGCTATCTGCATTGCTGTGTCACCTTTTGCACCTAGATGGACCATAGCGAGAGCAGTTGCAATACTCCAAGGAGCAAAGAAAATGTTTTGTCCTTTGGATGTTTCATCCAGCTTTCTGTAAAGGTCCACGGTGAAGCTGTTGGTTGATGCTGAGAAGGGCTCCATCGGTACAGCCTGAGTCAGATGATGAGCAGAGAAGGGTGATGACTGCTTCTTCATATTTAAAAAAACGGGAAATTTGTGGTGGGAAATTGCCTGCACCCTTGTAAACACACTGTTGGGATGGCCCTATCATGGCCAAAATGCCAAGTACAGTCAGATAGCAAGTCTCTTTAAGACCTGCGCTATTTCTCCCTTTCCAATCACTCTCAAATGTTTATATTCTTATTTCAGCTCTTTTCACTTACTCATCATTGGATAAACACTATTTTAGTTAGGAATGTTTTTACAAACCAGAATTGTTTTTAAAAAGCATTTACTGAAGTTTCACAGGATTATTCTTGCATTCTGTGGGAGTGAAATAGAAACATTTCCCACTGTGCTGCTCTGAGCTTTTATTCCTGTTTCCTTAAACTTCATTCTTTTCTGCTGAAAGAAGTATTGTGAATTGATGCCATTTGTCACATGCTTTAGAAGGCTGGTGGAGATCTGTAGATTGTCATTTGATCTTTGTGAACATGGGCCTACATTTGTCAACTGTAGCTGGATTTGTTAATGACTGTTCTTCAAGTCAACTCTTGTGTCTTACATACAACTCCAAACAGTTCCCATTTTAAGCAGCAGCTCTGCTCTGGTTTCATATGCTGGTTTATGAGAACCTGCAGATTTCCGCTTCTCTTTCTGCTTCTCTTTATGGAACAAAATCAAAGATAGTAACAAGAACATAGAAACCCCACGGTTGATGTAGTTTTTCATACCTGGATCCAGAACAGACCCATGGTTCTAACTAACATATTTTTGATGGATTTAGTACTGTTGACAAATATTAGGATAAATTCAGAAATTTCCACTGTCAGTGCAGGATTGCACCGAGTGAAAGACTAAGCATTAGGTCAGTGTAAATGACTGGAATTTTCATTCCTGCTTCACTCACAATTTGCATGCTTAAATCACAAGCAGCAAGCAGCAGTCCCCAAAACCAGCTGCTGTTCAGTCTTAGAGATAGCTGGAGCTTTTGGGATTCTTAAATTTGTATTTCAAAGCTTCCCAGAGCTCCAAAACAGCTTTAAATCATTCTCAGGTGTGCTTCTGAGGTGATTGCCCTGCAGCCTAGCTCATACCTTAAGCATTTTACCTTAAGCCTGGTATTTCTTACCGCTGTGCCTGGAGGAGCTCATTAGCTAGATATTCCCAGAGCATATTGAGGGAACTGGGCTGAGTTGAATGTTTTTGCTTAAAGAATTTCAGGCCAGTATCTCCACTATTGCCAGAGCTTGTCAGAACTGAATCTGCACACAGCAATCAAGCATTTCTGGGGCTCGAGTATGTGTGTTTGTATGAACACTGTTTGTCTAATAGCTGCTTTGCTCACCCTGGAAAGGAAAAGGCTGGATGCTGATCCAGTAATTATTTAACATGAATAAAGCAGAGGCTTGAATAGTGCTGATTGTCTAAAACACTGCAGTGTGGAGTCACGCAGTCACGTGTGTTCAACTCTGGGATCAGTAGGAGTGCATTATCATCTGCATTCTGTGTTCAGTCCTCTGATCCTAAATCAACTGGTAGCCTAGTGATTAGGGCACCCTGCCTGCAAGTGAGGACACTTTTTTGCACTCAAGCTGTGTAGGTTTTGCCCAATCTGGATGTGCATCCTGAACACTGTGCCCTTTGTGCAGTATTTTCCTAAAGGCTGCAGTTTGCATGAAGAGTTGAATGCTCCATTTCCCTGCATGACATTTTAGTTACCATTTAGCCACTCCATTCTGGAGAATTTATAAGAATTTTTAAGACTGCCAAAATAAAGCTGGCTATTTAGATATAAATATTTACTCTACCTGAAATCCTGCGAGAGAGGGAAGAGTTAAGATGTTGCTTCAGTCAGGATCTGTGGCGGTCTGTGAGGCAATGAATACTTTTGGAAGTGTAGAAATGGTTGCACCTCCCTTCTCTTCCCAACATCCTCTTCTTGTATTAATGTGCCTGTTCCCTCATTTATTCCCATTTCTTTTCTCCATCACGGCCTTTCAGAATTATAGAGAGAGATGAAGGGAGAGAGGCCAATTCAAAACCACTGTTAGTTGGTGCATGTCCTAAAACATGAAGCCCAGTATGCTTTTTTCCAGTGGTCCCCTTCACAACATTTCTGCAAGTATGTAGGAATTGTAGGAAAGAATAGAGTCACAGTGCATTGACGAGGGCCACATTGAAATAATTTTACAGTTTCCTCATCTTTTTACTCTATGAACTAGGGAATTAAGAGAAGCTAATCTCAAAGATTTGGCTGAAAAGGAGAACTGAGGTAGGCTGTTGGTGTCAGCCATCCTGTCATTCAGCCTTATAACCTACAGGCCCTGCACTGTGCCAAGCTTATTATGTTCTAGGAATGGAGGAAGTTTGGGCCACTGCAAAGCTGCTTGGAAGCTCTGCTTGTAATTATTTAATTTACTGAAACTGTTGTTTTGTAGTAAAGAGTAGAAGTAGCAGATTGTGTGAGATCAAAGATCAGTAAAGATATAATGCAAGACAGTTGCATCTGTATATATGCATTTTATTTTAACTAATGTAATTGGTTACTAAAACTGTCATTAGCAATTCCAGTTTTTATCTACCTGACTTGGATTAAATGCATCGATCCATTCCCTTTGCAATCCTTATCTATATTTTCGACTACATGTATGGTTACTTAGGAGTGCTTTAGGAATGCCCACAACTATGACACATGCAGAGTAAACCAGTTGCCAGCATGCAGTCATCCTGTGTAGAAGAACATTAGGATAAAGAGTACAAAACCATATTTAGAACTAGAACTAAACGTTTATGTTGCTATTCACTTTGAATCTGACTGATACATATGCAGTGCAAGGTTTCAGGGGTGACATATGCCTATCTTCTTTTACATGTTCTCTAAGTGTGCACGTTTTTCATACCTGGAATATCCATCTCATTTTCTTTCTTCAGAAATCTATTGAACACTATTATGTTTTGTTGTATGGTTAAGAAATGTTCTTGCCACCATATCTGAAACTGTTGTTACCTGTTTGGCTGAATATTTAGGAGAAATAAGAAAGCAGTTAATAGTGATAATTACTGTACTACAAACTACAAAGATTGGCCAAAAATACAGGAAAATTACAAAAGGGTGCCCAAACTGTGTGGACACTCTGTGGTATCTGCTGCAAGATCCTGTTTAGTAAGAGGGAGTAGAGTTTCAAAGGGGAGAAAATATGGGAAAGAAAAAGTGCTCTTGGTTTTGCTGTGCCACGTGCAGGAGAGGAAATAATGGCTTACTGTAAACAGAATGGTAGAAACAATGTGTTGCAGCATCAAAACCCCTGCCTGACTTGCTGGCTACAAATAGGTTGGTCTCTGACAAATGGTCATTAAAAGTTTTCTGATAAAACAAGTCGCTTTTCTTGGGCATTCTAATGAAGTCACCTTTCATCCCCAGCTTTCTCAGTGTGGATGTGAGGTTGTGTCTTTCTGTCTATTCTGTTGTACTCCTATACCTGTGATCAGTTTACTCTGTAGTTTGGTACATCTAGGCATTCACACTTACGCTGGTTAAAAAAACAGTACAGTTTAAAATCAGTGCTGGACTAAGTCCAGTTTTTTACTCTGTGGGAAGTTCCATTCAGCCTTGTCCTACGAGAGAGGAAAGGAGAATAAGTATCACAGTGATTTCAATAGACCTGTGAGTGACTGGAGTATAAATAATATTTAAAAAGGGTTTTTCTTGTTCCAGTTACTGATGGTAAAATAAAAACCTTAGAAAGTATTGATACATTTGCATTTTAGTTCTAAAATAGGTTGTATTGTTGCTGGATTTTTTCTGCATCCAAGCCTCGAGTGCTAAAAATACACCAGCACTGTAACATTCCTTATCTTTATTATTGCACACTCTCTCTGCCATTTCTGCTTGTCGTGAGGTCAGTCTACCACAGAGGTGGACACTACTATGAAACTCATGAAGAACAAGGAGATTAAGAGTAGTCAGGATTTATATATGAAGGGGAAGTCATGCTTAGCCATCCTGATTGCCTTCTAGGATGAGGCAGCTAGCCAGCTAGCCTCTTTGATGAGGGGAGAATACTCAATGTTGTTTACCTTGACTTTAGAAACTACGTTTAATACTCTTTCCTGTAAGGCTGCCTGAAAGCCTGCCAGGCTGACAAATGATGGGATGGATAAGTGAGCCCAGCCAGGCCCAGAGAGTTGTGATCAGTGGCACGAAGCCCAGCTGAAGGCAAGTCTGGTTAACACCAGTACTATTTATACATTCATTAATGACCAGGATGCTGACACAGAGCATCACCCTCACCAAGTTTGCAGACAGTACAAAACTTGGCTGATACACCATCCAACCAGAAGGATTTTGCTGCCATTCAGAAGGACCTGAACAAACTGGAGAATTCCAATTCTTAACTTTTTTTTTTTTAATTAAATATGCAAGCATTTATCCTCGAGTCCTTGCTATGCTGACTATTCCATCCTGACAATAACTTCTTTGTGTTTTTACTTTTATTGTGTAGTTTTCACTTGTGTGCTTTTCCACACCTTAGTACATTTCTTTGTAAAGCTGAGTCAGTAGCATGCAGCAGGGCTGAACCAAAGTGGGTCCTCAGTGACAGACAGCTGAACCCTGAGCTGGGGGTTACAGGTGATGGAGAGCACTGAATTTAGAAGCAGCATGGTGTACAGAGAAGGTGTAGATATACTTCGTTGGGTGGAGGTGTGTTTCCAAATAGACTGCCTTTTCTTGAGGTGTAGGGTAAGCTGTAATTACAGGTGGAATTTTGCTAAGAGTAAATGTTTGTACAGTACTTCCCTCCAGCATTCAGATCTTGTTGCTTGAAATAATGTTCTGTCACATGTGGTAGCTGAATATCATAATGGCTACAAAACTTTATGCGATTCCTATAGGCAAAGGAAAGCACAGCTGCTGCCCTCCTAAGCTAATGGAAGAAACTGATGTTATTAATACAGCAGTGGATGTTTGAAAGCCACTCTTTTGGGCTATTTGCTCTGGTCAGACTTTTATTTCAGCCCCTTCCAAGGGAGGCTGACAGTGCAATAAGCAGTGGTTGAAAGTGGAAAACTGATTGCTTACAGTGAAAGAAAGTTCAGATCACAGAATCACAGAATCGTAAGAGTTGGAAGGAACCTCTTGGAGATCCAGTCCAACCCCCTGCTAAAGTTTCCTGCAGCAGGTTGCACAGAAAAGCACAGGCAGGTCTTGAATATCTCTAGAGAAGGATACTCCATAAGCTCTCTGGGCTGCCTGTTCCAGTGCTCTGTCACCCTAAAAATAAAGAAGTACTTCCTAGTGTTTTTGTAGAATTTTCTGCATCACAGTTTTTGGCCGCTGCCCCTTTTGCTGCACACCACTGAAAAGAGTCTGGGCCCGTTCACTTGACTCCTGCACTTTAGATATTTATAAATAATGATGAGATCCACCCCTCAGTCTTTTCCTCTCCAGGCTGAACAGTCTGTGGTGTCTCAATCTTTCTTCCTATGGGAGATGCTCTGGGCCCCCAATCAACTTTGCAGCCCTCCGCTGGACTCTTTTCAGCAGTTCCCTGTCTTTCTTGAACTGAGGAGCCTGGAACTGGGCACAGTACTCCAGATGTGGCCTTACCAGGGCAGAGTAGATGGGGAGGATCATCCCGCTCGACTTGCTGGCCTCACTCTTTTCAGTTCACCCCAGAATACCGTTGGCCACCTGGGCCGCAAGTGCACACTGTTGGCTCATGGCCAATCTGTTGTCTACCAAGACACCCAGCTTTTTCTCCTCAGAGGTGTTTTCCAGCAGGCTAGCCCCTGATGTGTACTGATGCATGCAGTTATTTCTCCCCGTGTGCAGCACTCTATGCTTTTTCTTGTTGAAGCTCATCAGGTTCCTCTCCACCCAGCTCTCCAGCCTGTCCAGGTCTCACTGAATGGCATTTCTGTCTCCTGGCCTGTCAGGCACTCCTCCCAGCTTCATACTGTCAGCAGACTTGCTGAGGATGCACTCTATTCCTTTATCTAAATTATTGGTGAAGATGCTCAACAAGAACGGGCAAATACCTTAACTCTGTTATCTCATCACAGGTTTTGATTTATTTTGGTGTGTCTAGTAAATGAATAGGATAACATGTTGAACAACAGTGTTTTCAGTGTTGTATGAAATGTAGTGGGAGTAAGACACTGGTTAATTATTAGAGTGTTTCAGCACCTTGTCATTAGTGGTGATGTGATGGTTGGTTTGAAACAGCAAGAGCAGAAATGTGTGTCAGCCATTCATTGTATAGGATGCTCTAAAGGAGCTAGGTGAGTTAGAATCTTGCATAGCACAAACACAGTTCCAAATTCATTTATTATTGTAAATGTAGATCATGGCAAAATAATGAAGTGAAGCATGCATAAAAATCTTATTGGTGTTTCTGTCAATACCAGGACTATCTTAGCTGAAAGCCACTCGTGAGTTACAAATCATACATTTATCAGTGATCCAGGTAGCAAGGAAATTGTGCAGATGTTGGCCAGGAAACAGATACAATTACATTAAATTGAAAATAGAAAGCAGATTTGAATTGTTTAGATCACATTTCAATAAGAGGTAGCAATAAGGGATGTTGCTGTAGTTTTCTTGGTCTTATTGCTGCTTGGGATGCTTATCAACCTCAGCCTTGAGCATTCAGAGAAATAAGGACAAAATGCAAGGTGAACAGAGGTTAGCAATTATACATCAAGCATTTGCTTTCCATGAAAGGCAATTTAATTAATGTAATGGAAAGAAGCAATAGAGAGACAGTCTTTGAGGCACATGGTGGTGTCTGGGTGCTGCCTCACTTAAGAAAAAAGACATATACTTCTAGTACTTATGGCTATATGGTTGAAGGCTGAGCTTTTAACACTACAGTTCATGTTTTTCCTTTGAAAAGTGAACTTTGGGAGTGAGGAATAATTCATTCTACTGGGCAGCAGAGTCTGCCAAAAAACAGGATTGTTTTGGATTTGTTATGTCTGATGAAGAAGTGGAAAGGGTGATCAGCCTTAAATGTCAGAGCATAGTTGATAGCTGTACTTGTGAGTGTTGTAATTACAGCTGTAGCAGCAGCTGCCTCAGTGCCTTTCTCATCAACTGCAACAAAAGACTGATGAATGACTTTGGAAATAGACAAATCCCTCTTATCAGTCATCCCACTGAAATCAGCGTTGAGGCTGAAGGCACTTGTCATGCCCATGTTCTTCAGAGTATCACGGAGGTCATATCTGTCCTCCAGAGAGAACTTAGGCAGGTGCAGATCCACAAGAGTTTCTGTCATCTTCTTTGAATCAGCCCATTCCAACAGCTTCTCAAAGGTGAGTTCTCTTTCCAGCTAGTGTTTAAGAAATAAGAGGAATTTAATGGTGGCAAGGATAAACCAATAATTAATAAACCAATCATTAATTATGACTGTCTTTTTTTTAATCAATTTTTAAAACAGTTTTTTAAATGGCGTATTTAACATTCAGCTGAAAAACACGAAATATAAATTGCTTTCACTGATGACCAGAGAACAGGCTGCAAAGCAAATGTGATGCATAATGCTGCAACTTTTTGAATGCTACTTCTGCCAAATTAATTGCAGAAGAAAGAAAGGGCCATATGGTCATCAGTCTGTCCTTTTTGTTCTGATGACTGAGTGGTGATACAGAATGGATGTAGCATAACTTTTTACCTGCTCGAGACCAGTAGTGCCATCTTTGATGTCGTCAGGAAGTAGGATGAACATACTGAGTTCACGTTTCACATATGGAAGTTCGATCATTTTCAAGTTCATTTTTTCCATGATAAGAACTGGAAATGTATTTTTCATGTACATCGTCTTCACGAGCTTGGACTTATTCTGTAAGGTATTTATTTATCAGTTAGAAATTATTCCTTGAAAAAAGGAATTCCTTGTATAGAGGAAACTTTCAGAAGCAGTTTCTGTAACAGAGATTTGACATTCTTTTTCCAGGGCTTTTCTTGACTGGACAGTATTGCTGATCTTGTCTCTTGTCCCAGAGTATTTTGCTGGGGACTGAGCTAACTGATTTTGTCTTTTCCCCAGAGCATGCACATCAGCCCACAGAGGAGAGAGGAAGGGAGCCAGAAACATCAGCAAGAATTAGGGGGAGGAAGCATTCATGGCATACAGCCACCCAACACCACAGCAGTGAAACAGCTCTGGTGTAAGAGGATAAATGTTATGCAGCCTTTTTGTGATCTCCTCTCTATGGCAACATTACTTCTAATCTCACTCAGCCATGCTCCCATCCAGTGGAGCTGTGCTGCTGCAGCTGTATTCACAGTTGGACTGTGCAGCACAGAGGTGTGGGTACTGTGCTCATCCATAGCATGGCATGCAGTTCCTGTCCAGGAAGCACGGACTCTCAATATCTGATTTTTACAATCTAGCCCTTATACCTCAGTTTTGCAGAAAGGCTTTAAGTGACTGTAGCATTTTTGGAAACTGTGTTCCATCTGGATCTAGTTATCCTTTGCCTGAGCAGCATCTTAATTTCCATAAATGTTGGTGAGCTGACCACTGACACATTTTGCTGTAAACAACTTTTCAGAGAGTCTGTTTACCAAAGAATGGCTAAAGGATGGATGAAATAAAAGATGGTAACAGTAGGTGCAGTGTGCAGTCTGCTTGCTGTAAGGACACCAGAGGAGCTTACCTTGCTCAGGCGGAAGGGTTGCATAGATGTGTGTCCTGCCTGAAATTTCACTTCCCATTCTGCCTTGAAGTAAATGGCATTGACCAAAATCAACCTGGTCACGCTTTTCACATCATCTGAACTCAGCAAATTCTTGATTTTACCTTTTAAAATCAGAAAAGTCAGACTGTACTCCAGTGTAACAAAGTGAGGGAATGTTTTGATTCTTTATCCGCTCTGCTCAACTCCTTACTGAAAAAGTGCAAGCCTCAGTGCCCTACTCCCTGAATTACTTCCGTGCCATAAGCCAGTTAGTCTGTTTGATGTTTGCTGCCCTGTTCTCCTGGCTAGCTGACTGCAATTGGCTTCTGCCTCAAGAAATGCCACAGTCTCATGGCAAGCAACTGGAAGCAGACAGCCACCTACTGCCCATACCAGAAGGCATGACCTGGATGCTACAGTCACAAGTGTGAGAGCAGGGTCCCAACGAGGGCAGCAGGAAGAGGAAGGATGTTGGGGTTGAGCTCAACTTACTGTCTGTTTGTTTTTCCACCCAGGTGTTGATTTCCTTTCTGGTTTGTTCTGGTGCTGTCTTAAAGTTAACCTTGTGTGGCTCTGCTTTATAGTATTTCTTACTGAGCTGTATATATGTCTGGAAAATGGCATATAAAAAGAAAGAAACAAAGAAAGAAGGAAATATTCTGTATTGTACAATATTTTTGTAGTCCAGAAAGTAATTTGTTAGCTGTTGAACTTCTTGTTAACTTTTTGCGCATAGGCAACTGCAGAATGTAGCCTTTTGCTCTCTATTGAGCAGTGAGTTAACGTTTAAGAAATAACCAAAGGACAAACATTTCCCTTCTCTTATTCTGTCATTCCCACTTTTATTTGGAGAAGGAAAGAAGACTGTGCACATCTCCTGGATGTGCTTATTTCAATATCTCATTTTCAATTGTATGTATTGAGATTCCTAGTGATAAAGCTGTACTGCATGAAAAGGGGTCCTGCATTACAGCCAAATGCATTCTTATAAACTGGGAGAAGCCCAAATGGTATTTTTCAGTGAAGTTTATCTGGAAACCACGACTCGTCATCTGTGGCATTTATGGACAGCTTCAAAACTGTTCTATTAATAACAAGTGAATACAATGAATACAGTGCAAAACTTTTTTTTTTTTGGCAATTTTTCTTAATCCTCTTTGAAATAAAACCATTCAACTTACAGGCAGCAATGGATAGGTTTTTTCCACATAGATACGGTTGGCACTTCTCAGTGAGTAGGTGTTTCTGGGTTTGTTGAAGGCTGTCAGGAGCTCTTTGAATCCAGAGTGGATGTTTTCAGCTTGCTCATGCTCAGGGTCCTTGGAAAGAGAAACTGTACATTTACCAGTTGCATTTTTTTTGCATGAAGTTTTTGAAACACGCTAAGGGATAGATGTTGGGGTGGAATTTCTGTTCCTCTCTCTTTTTATCTTTCCAAATTTGCCACCGCTGCAGTTTGCAGGGCTCTGTTTATGACCTGATTAACTGATTTACCATATTGCAAACCTTCCAGACTATCTCAGTGACTTGTGCTTCTATACTTTTGAGTCTGAATGAGTGAAAGGAACTGAAATTGGATGTGTTGCAAAGTAATACTGGGTTTTATACTTTAAATATAAAGAGAGCTGTGAACAAGAAATAGTGGACTCTTAAAACTGTTTCCAGACATTTTAATTCTTATCTTGTGATTTCAGGTCTAACAGATACCATTCTTCTTCTTTTCGGTCTCCCCCGAGAAGGTCTGGCCACAGAAGAGCTTTCAGCTTCCACACCTTTAGTGAAATGAAGAACCTGCAAATAGAGTTTCCAGAGGTAGGAAGTTGGCATGAAAGAATTTGCACAACCTAAAACCTAATAGAGATAAAATGGTTGTCTTGTTTGGCTCCGTATGATAACTCACTGTGCTATCTTCTGATCTAACTGGGGGGACACTGAAGCTGTAGTACATGTAAATCCCATACAGTAACAAGGAATAGTGTTGCTGCCCTCTGTAAACATCATCACAGTACTTTTGTCTGCGCGTTACAAGGCTGAACTCCCTTCCACAGCCATTGCACTCAGCAATAGCAGTGCTTTTGTGCAAACCCAAATGTAGTTTTTCCCTATGACAATGGAACAGGGCATCCCAATAGCAATTACTGGGCAGTGTTGAGCATCATAGCTTCACAGAGCTACTTACCTTTGCCATCTCTCTTGCTGTATTGCCTTTTGCAGCCAGGTATGTCAGGGCGAGAGCAGATGATATACTCCAAGGGGAAAAGAAAATGTTTTTGTCCCTACTGGTCTCATTCAGCTTGTTGAAAAGATCAACTGTAAAGTTGCCAATTGATGCTGAAACCTGTTCCATTGCTACAGCCTGGAAAGAGGCAACAGACAGAACTGTAGTATTTGAGTGTCTAAAATGATGTATGCAGTGCGTATTAGTGAGAAATGTTACATTTGCAATGCAGTGCATAGGTACCTTTTGAAACTAATAGCCTAGCTGTATGTTCTGCACATACACTTACATGTACATACATGTGCCACCTGCTGGGAGCAGCAATTCCTTTTAGGTTTTTGTTATCCATCTCATAATTTCCGATCATTATAGATGTGTCCTCTTTTATAGATCTGCTCTTTTATTCATGTTTCTTTCTGCCTTTGGTTTTCAAAAGTGTGTAGATTTGTAAGCTGCATGTTTTGTTCATTTTCATTCCTAACTCTTTATCAAAGTAATGTTCCCAGGGAAGTTTAAGTAATTTTCATACATGGGACATCTGAGATTTTCACTACCTCATTTTGGATCTAGGTAGAATTAGGAGCTAATACTGAGAATGTATTTAGGTGTAACTCTTGGGCTTATGGAATTTTTCTGGCTAGCAACCTATTTCAGGTAATATAATGTATGACAAAGTTGTTATTTGCTTTTGGAGTGTTACCATTTTATTCACAGAGTCTAACTACAGTCTCTTCTTTACATTCTGGCAATTTTATTTTCCTCAGAAACTGGCAAATATCTATGTGTATAAGCTATGAGCATTCCAAACTTTAACTTACCTGTTCAGTAGTACCTTCTTATGGTGTTTTCTGATAGAGAGACTGGAAAATATTGTTGTTATTGTTGTTATTATTATGTAAAGAAAGATTCATGTTTATTGAATGGCACTGCAGAAATTGCAGGTCTGTCTCTGAAGTCTACAGATATTCATCAAGTTTTTGGCTATCAAACCACTTTAGTTTTTCAGGCAGTCGTTATCGAGTCTATACCAAATCTGTACCATAGAGTGACATTCTCTCCTTGGAGAACCTGACCAAATGAGCATCAGGATAGAAACCTGTCTTACTCTACCCTCTGAGTCGCTGTCCTGATCATGTATTCATACACCTGAAGTATGAGACTCCTTTATCAAACTGAATATTTTAATTAGTAAAACAACTACTGTCCTGACAAGATTTTCCTTCTTGTGATCAGTTATGCTCCCAACTGTTTTCCTTAGCTCACACATTCATTTTCTGTAAGGCATGACATCTAGAAAAGCATATATAAGAAATGACTACAGTATAACCCTGGTACGTTTTACTTCCACTGTCAAGCAGGCTATAGATAACCATTTAAAAAAGATCAGAAAAATTATTTAAATTGGTTTAAATGCTTACCTGTGATCCCGTGAGAGAGAAGACCTGAGTCTTGTCCTGTCAGGTTTTGTGTCTGCGTGTTAAGCAGTGAATAAATTTAGAAATATAGTAGTTTGCACTTCCCTTTCCTTCTCTCCGATGTCAATTCTGTTCCCGCCTACTCAAAGCTTCTCTCTAATGAATCCCAAAACCATCTCATACAGTTTTGTCTTCCTTGTTGATCTTGTTACATTGTAGTTCCTTGTTCATCTTGTTACATTTTTGTTTTAGGCATTTCAAAGGAACAAAGTGGATCATAATCTCATTTTAACTGTTACACCACAATTGTCAGTAGGAGGACAGCAAAGCAATTCACTCGTTCATTTCAATGATCTTCTGGTGTTGTGAAGACAACTGGCCTGTTGTTTAAAGTAAATAAATGTAGTAAAATGATTACTAGATGAACCAGAATGCATGGTTTTGGTTTCTGAATTTAAGCAGGTATTGTAGGACTGGTCCAACTTTCCAGCCTTGTGAAGCCATGACTCTTTGTTTTTTAATAGAGACCTGGACAGTCTTGAGGATTGGGTCCATGTGAACATAAGGAGGTTCACGAAGGCCGAGTGTTAGATGTTGCACTTGTGCAGAAGCAATCCCAGATGTGTATTTGTACTAGGATAAAAACTCATTGAGAGTAGCCCTACTGAGAAGGACTTAAGGATCCTGGCAGATGAAGAACTTAACAGGAGCCAGCAGTGTGCTCTTGCAGCCTGAAAGGCCAACAGTATCCTGGGCTGCATCAAAAGAAGGGTGGCCAGCAGGGAGAGGGAGGTGATTGTCCCCCTGTATTCTGCCCTCATGAGGCCCCATCTGAAGTGCTGTGTCCAGGCATGAGGCCCTAGCACTGGAAATATGTGGACCTTTTGGAACGAGTCCAGAGCAGGGTCGTGAAGAGTAGAGAACTGGAAGACCTCTTCTATGAAGATTGGCTGCAGAAGCTGGGATTCCTCAGTCTGAAGAAGTGAAGGATCAGGGGAGACCTGATAGCAGCCTTCAAGTACCTAAAAGAAGCTTATAAATAAGGAGGGAAATCAACTTTTTGCATGGGTAGATAGTGATAGTACGAGGGGGAATAGTTTTAAACTAAAAGAAGGTAGACTTAGATTAGATGTTGGGGAAAGTTTTCACTGAGAAGGTGGTGAGATGGTGGAACAGGCTGCCCAGAGAAGCTATGATGCCCCATCCCTGGAGATGTTCAGGGCCAGGTTGGATGGGACCCTGAATAGCCTGATCTAATGCCTGATTTAGTCGTTGGCAGGAGGCTTGGAAATAGATGATCTTTGAGGTTCCTTCTAACCCAAGCCATTCTATGATTCTATGAATAAGATGCATCAGCGTAAAATGTCAAGAGCTTACAGACTGAATTTGACTTTAGAGTCAAGCTTCAGAGTGAAGATCATTGGGAGCACAGGCAGAGGCAAAGTCATTGGAGATGTAAGGCTGAACACCTTGCTTCTTGTGTTGGTGAAAAAATCTAATTGCTGGGAATAGCTGGGAAACAGAGAAACACTGCAAAATACTGAGTGCACGGTACTTGTATGCCATGGAGGAAGGCAAGAACTGAAGCAGCCCCACTGGCAGAACTTGAGCAAGGAAGGAGTGAAAAAAATACAGCAGGGATAAATATGATAGTTGTCACTCTGCTGTCCCAGAAAACAGCAGGGCTGCTCTTGGGTGGGTAGGAGAAGGGGAAGGTAGTGGCAACATCTGTAAGAGTCTAAGGGATAGGGAAGGAAAGAAGAGGGAGGGAAGGAAACTATGGTTTGCCAAGCATTTTGCTGTAAGTCTGATTACAGGAACAGTGTGGGTCAAGTCTTCTGAAAAGTCATAGAAATCAGTGTTATGCAAGGCAGTGAAGAAATGTCAGAAATTAAACAAGTGGTGATGTTAGTACAATGAGAAAGGTTATTAAAAAAATTCAGAGTAGAAGAAAAGTCCACTGAATGATTGATCGGAGGAAAAGGCCAAGCTAGAGAGATTCCAAATGCTAAAGAAATAAGCTGAGAGCAAGCAAGCAAGCAAGCTAACTGCCCCTGTAAGTCAAGCTGCACAGGTGCCAGAGAGGATGAGAAACTGAGGTGCTAAGGTAGAATGGATGTTGACAGAAACAAGACAGAAGCTGGTTTATAGTCCAGTGCATGCCTGGAGCAGGCCCACAGGTAAATTAGGTCAGCTACAGCCCTTTCCTGAATGGGAAATCCTCAATTTTTCTAGGCAGTTATTCCCAGTGTGTGCTATTTACCATGAGAAAATGTTGTTCCTCAATGCAAGATTCACCCTCTAATTTGGTTGCCATTGGCCTTTGGTAATGATCCAGCATTGCCAACAGGACATTCATTCTTTCATCTTTGCAACTACGCTTAAAATAGAAAAGGTGGATGGCATTTGTTTCTGAGTTTGGTTGCGCACTGTTGGGGTTTTGTTTCTCGTTGGCCTCCCAGGTATGACTTTTGAGTCTTTATTCCTGAGAAATATCAGGTAGTCCTTGAGTGACTTTTCCTTTGGGACATGAAGCCATTCTGTTAGGTGAAGCAGGACATGTCAGAAACGCCTCTGAGCATAGAGATCCTGTGATATGTTTCACAGCTGAGGCAGAAGGCAGTGCTTGTGGAGCTTTGTGAGGATACAATAGAGCATTTGCTTCGCAACACTCTCCCTATGTTCCTTCCCATTCCCAAAGGAGCCTGGCCACATGGAATAATACAGAAAAGACCCACCATCAGTCAACACTCCTCTCTCTGCCAGCAAAAAGGTATCCTACCTTCGTGGGAAGGGATGTTTATAGTGAGATGCTGTCAGTGTGTGCAAGTGCTGTGAAGAGGCCCGGTCCTTTTCTCACCATTCTGAATTCAGAGAAGTAGGAGCAACACTTGTGTTCTTAGATGTGCATGACTGATTGGGAATTCCCCCTCCTTAGGAGTAAGAGCTGTGAAAGCAGTGAATATGTAGGGAAGAATTTGCATGAAATCTTTCAGACAGCACTTGGGGAGTTAACGTTACAGATTTGATTCTCCCAGTTGGTCTTGCCTTCAAGCAGCAAAATAAGTGGCAAAGGAGTGTAAAGCAGTGCTGGGCTGCAACAGTGTTGAATGAATTAAAGGTTAGGACAAAAGAGAGCATTTCAAGGTATGTGTTTTATTTAACTCTGGTTCTGCATTGTTTGGTATTTGCCAATTTATGAGGGTCAGAGATTAGAAAGTACATGTGTTAGCTCCTTTGTGTGCAAGAGCAAACCGACAGTACCAGCAACACAGAGGATTTTGCAGCTTTGTTTCATTACCAGCCATGCTATGTTGTGAAGCTGATTTAAAACTGAAAAGGCTGTGGTAGAGGTGGCCTGGGACAGTTAGCTTTGAAGAGGTGTGACAACTTTATACAAGAATGAGTTTCTCCTGCTTCTTTTCTTCTTATGTGCAAAAGGAATTGTATCGGGAAGTACTGTTTTAGATCAGCCTTGTCTGTTCTGCATTGTAGCAGTTCTGGTTTGGAAAGCACTGAAAAGACACATCCATGTTGTTCAGTGTGCAGTTTGGTGTTTTGTAGTGCTGTATAATATGCTTATAAAGGAAAATGAATTAGAGGCTTGAATTCATGTTATTTTTAATATGAGCTCTCTTCTAGCAGAGATTGTCAATAGTGCAGGAAAATTATGGTAAAGTTCACAGTCTGTTGAGGTGCTCTTCGTGGCATACATTGTGTACATCGTTGTTGTAAGGGCTTGTTTATTAACAGTTGATTTTCTAGGGGGAGCAGAACCTTCCAAAGAAAAGGATGCACTTGGTCTTGTTGTGTCTGATAATGAAGAGAAAAGGGTGATCTGCTACAAAAAAAACTGCAGCACCAAGGCTTCGTGATGCTAGAGATGCTGAACTGGCAGCTGCTGCCTCTGTGCCTTCTTCATTGACTTCCACATAACATTTGTGAAAAACTTGTGACAGAAACAGGTCAGCATTCTCTGACATTCCCCTGAAATCAGCTTGACCTTCTGTGAAAGCGTCTTCTATCCCCATCTTGCTCAAAGTAGATTTCAGGTCATATTTCTCTTCTATTGTGAACTTGGGCAGATACACTTCCATTTTCATTTTCTCCATTAATTCTGGACTGGTCCATGCAGACAATTTTTCAAAAGTCAATTCATTTATTAGCTGCAGTTAATTGAAAAGAGAACCAGAAAAGTTACACAGTGTTCAAAAAACTGATCCCTAAGGGTTATTTCTTCTGTATTTTTATTTAAGAACTTTTCAAGCTACGAAAATTTTGTACCTTTTTTTGTAGAAAAAAATGGTACTTTTCAAGTACAAAAAACCATTAGTGAATTGCCAACTCTGAAATATTTTCTACTAGGAAGGAATATTTTGCTCTACTGTATGCCAGTGCAGCATTTGAACTGTTCTCAGTGATCATCAGGAAATGTAGAGGGGTTAAATATTTGTAAAACAACATCACCGTCAAGTAACAGTAGTCTGTTTGACTTGGTGCTCACATTTCTGTTTTCTGTATGTCTTAGAATTTAGTGAAAATAACTTTTTTTTCTACAAAGCACCCATTAATATAAATGAGAATTTCACAATAGTTTACTATCTGAAGTCGGGTTCAGTGTGTTTACAGAAGGTGGCAGTGTGCATGTATATTAGCTCTGAACATCATAGAAAGTAATGCAGGGTGTCTAGGTTGTGCTCTTCTTTTTAATTGTAATAATATCCATCTGAGTCAGTACAGACAGTCAGCAGAACTGTCTTTCTGTCCTCACTGTTCTTCAGCTAGAGTTAGAGCCAGTCTTGTTGGGTTTGGGCTACATATTTCCAGCACTGATCAACATTAGAAAGCACAGAAGTGCCACCTGCCAGGAGCTAAAAAGAAAACTAAACAAAACATTCAAGAGGTTCAATTTCATAACATTTGAGCAAGTTTGAGGTTTGTTTTTCCTTGAGCCTCCTTCAAGGAAACCTTCCTTCCTAGAAATAAGGCTGTAACCTAATGTTTTACCATGGATATGCATGAAAACATTCTTGTTTCTCACACAGTTTGAGCTTACAGTTACCCTTTACCTTTTGTAGGCCAGTGATATCCCGTGGCAGCAGGATGAACATACTGAGGTCGTTATTGACGTATGGAAGTTCAAGAACATCAGTCTGGACTGATTCTACGTAGGTCCAATTAAATTTATCAGCCAGGTGCATCATTGGCACTGGTTTAGTTGTATGCTGCAAAAAATCAAATGAAAAGCTTGCTATTTATACCCAGAACAGTAAAAGACTACATTGAATAGCATGGGGGAGGTACATCCCTGTGGCTCTTAGAGAAGCTGTAGGATCTACAGAGTGTCCCTCTCTTCTGGGAATGCACTTGGAGGCTAAGAAGGCTATCTTAGCCAGCTAGGATGATACATACTTACTGGAAGCTCTGTTCCACTCTGATTCATTGTATGGTTAAAAATGAAAATATATAGAACTAGTTCATACAGTTTTATACACATCTATGTTTTCCTGCTTTAAGAGGTGTGTGGAAGTTTGTTTCAAGCTGGCTTATGTTAATTTTATTTGTGCCTTGGGTGCTAGCATGTGTGTGCAATCTTTGTACTGAAGGTGTTCTATGGATTTGTTATGGATATAACATATGTTTTAAACATTCTAATTTTAGTGCAGTGTGGATTTAAAGAATGGCAGGAATTTATCTCCTCCATCTTTTTCACTGTTTTTTCAACCTGCAGTCTGGTATATAAGGCAGTATGTTACCATACCGTATTTATTCTGAAAGGCCTTTGCCTGGTTTCTTCAGCATCAAACTTTGTTGCCCAGTTTCCTTTGAAGTAGAGTGCATTTACCAGGACTAGCCTGGTGAGTGAATCTATGGATCCAGGAGGCAGCAGACTTTTTATTTTACCTACAGAAAACCAAAGAACATTTACATATTTGTGCACCTTTACTGTTTCAGAGTAAATGTTGGCATAGTTAATGAAGAAATAAGGAAATCTGAAGTGTTGATTTGGCATGCTTCTAGCTTGAGATTATTCACAAATACACGACAACATTGTTTTTATAGAGAAAGCCACATTCCTTTCCCATTCAAATGGAGAAAGATAATTTTACTAAGGTTTTCCAGTTTCCATTTCCAGCAGATGATTACTTCAGCAAAATTGTTCTGATTTCCCTTTCTGAGTTAAATTGTTTACCTGCCTTGGGCCCTTTGGGCACAGAGAATTTGTTCATGACTAAAATTGCTTCCTTCAGAACTGGGAGAGGAGATGGTTGAGCTTACCTTCAGTCTGGTGTTCAACCCTGGAATTGATCTCTCTTCTGATTTCATTTGCTGCTCCCACAAAGTCAACTGATTGTGGTTCTGCACTGTGGTATTTCTTGGCTAACTGTAAGTATTCCTGCAGTGGAAGAGAGACATCTGTCTTATGTTTGTTGCCTGCCACGTAAATGCCAACAAATAACTATAGCCAAGTGGAGAGAACAAATAAAAATTATACAGGCTACAGCATTTTGTCAGAAGAACACAGTACTTTTTTAATTTGGAAATGCATAATTTAAATGTTTTTGCCTAGCCACAACTGTGAATCACACAAATTAAATACACCTCCTAGAAAAGTAAAATCATGATATCTAAATTCTCAAGAAGAACCTCGCAGGAAGTGTGCGTGAGAGATAATAACACAATTTGCAGATGTAATGAAAATATTTGAAGGTATATAAGTTATTATTGTTTGTTGTCATAGGTAGATCATAAAGTTTGACACACGCAGTATAACATGAATAAATGGCCTACGTACCTTACTGAAAGGCAGTGACTTTTCTCCATATAACTGGTTGACACTTCTGAGCAGGTAATTTTTAGTGGGTTGGTTGATTTCCAAGTTGAGTGCTTTAAACCCAGCATGGATGTTACCTGATCTGCCTATTTCTGTCTTGGAGACAAGGAAATAAGGGTTATGCATTTCAAAATTTCTAAATTCGTTCCTCGTGCAGCTCTATGTAAACTATTACTATTCAGGTGGTGTTGACTGTACTGCAGTGCAAGATGTGTAATAACTCAGATATAAAAAGATTGACGTGAATTTACTAAAAGTTTCACAATGCTATAGACTCTGTAAGAGCCCTGGAGTGCAAGTTGTAAGAGCTTAAACTGTGTAGAATGTTTAAGGGATTCTAAATGGAGGTTGCAAAAGCAAGTACATCAAAGAGAGAGACAGAATGTAATTGCTAAACTATACATGAAGACTTGGCTGTGTGACTCCTGGTAAGATTTATAAAAGTTAATTATGTGGTAAGTTTTCCCCTAACTTTTTTAACCTTCCTCTAAATAGTCATATTTTGCAGATGCTTTTTGTTGCAGTAATTGCAATAAATTCTTCATATTTAAGTAATAGGATTAAACAAATGCAGACTCAAACTGTCAAACCAGCTTGAGGAAATGAAGCTGTGAATTATTGAACTAAAAAACTGGACCTGTGTTGTATTCATCTTGTTACTACAAGAGAATCAGAGGCATGAACAGCCATCTAAATTTCTAAGCTGTTAGAACAGTTTCTTTTCACTGCCTAAAGTGCTCCATAGTTCTTACAGTTCAGACAAGCATTACTCATGAGAAACAATCCATCTTCTGTTCATGCAGTGTAAATGGGTTGTTGGTGTAGTCCCCAAAATTACTCTTCCCACCGTGGCTGTAGACCCAAGTTCCCATTTATCAGAACTTGCCACAGGGGTTTTGTGGATAGACTTCAGGGAAATGATTTACCCACAGAAAGAAAAAAGACTGATGGGAAAGAGTAGGGAGAGGAACTTTTTACCACAGTGGCTGCATTGTCAGTGAGGAAAAATGGCTTTACTCACTCAGAGTGTGATTTCCAAATTTTCTGCTCACTTAAATTAAGTCTATTTTGAAAAAAGATGCCTGCCAGTCTGTCAACGAAATATCTCAGGAATACGATAGTTTCCATTTCTTTAAGATTTATTGCAAAGTCTACCTTAGGAAATTCCAACATGCCAGTTTATTTACTAAACTTTCAAATGAAATAGAAACTAATTTCTGAAATGTATCAAGCACAGGTAGCCTGTAAAAGATACTTCTGTAGTTGTTTTTTTTTGTTGCTGTTGTGTTGATGCTGCAATCAAATGTGTGGGAGAGTAGTATTGTTTTGATTTGTTCTGAGATAGGGACCGTGCCTGTTCAAAGAACATGTTGCTAAATAACTAGCTATTGAACAGTGATAGTTAAAAAGGAAAGAAAGAAAGAAGAAAAGAATGAAGGAAAGATTGAAAGAGAAAAAGAGAAGGAAGAATGAAGGAAAGAGGAAAAAAAAGAAAGAAGAAAGAGGAAAAAAAAGAGAGAAAGAAACCTCTCCTCAAAGCTGAAGGGAGAAGATCAAGAGATCCATTGATAGAGAATAGCCCCATCATTACATTTCAGATTTCACAAATTCGAGGTTAAATTTTGCAATTCTACCTAAAAATGGGAAACATGTCTCAAATATTGCATAAGATGAAGGTATCACAGGATGCTATACCAAATAGTTGTGTATACTGCATTTACGGAAGGCAAGCAGAGAGACAAAATAAAAGTGAGGGAATGTGTTACCATGACCATTACGTGATCATTGGACTTGGTGATCTACCTTCTGGAAACAGGCACGGCGATTTGATAGGCGCTCGTCTGTTCTGGAATAGACTTGCATTCTTATAGTTGTGGTGACGTTTCTGGCTCCTTCAGCTTCGTTGAAGTAGAGTACCTATAGTGGAAATTGCAGTAATCAATGCAGTAACAGAAAATTTGCTGTTTCAGTGAAAACTTTCAGTGATGTCATAGGTCTGGTGATGAAAAGACAACACCAGATTTTACTTTTGAACCCCTGTGTACAAGATGTCTTGAGCATACTTAGATGAGGGTTGCAAGCAGAACTCTCTTGTATCTGGTATTTCTAGAGGAATTTGCCTGCTTCAAGTTGGCCCTTGTACTCACAGGATTATACCTGGGAAGGGCCAGTTATTTCAAGGTGGAAACTACCAAAGCATAGGTGTGAACGGAGAGCCCACTACATGTCAGAAAACACTGGGAGCAGATTCATACCCTACATGCCTTCCTCTGGGCATGTGCACCTTACCCAGGCTACAAAACTGTACATCTAACCTTGGAACATTTTTTCAGAAGCCTTTTGTTTTGTTTTGCTTTCCCTTCTTCCTGACAGAAGATCTCTCCTTTCTTTGTGACCCTGCTGGTCCTCATTTGTCCTGTAGCTCAATAGTTGGATTGCTGCTTTAGCAGGCGATGCAGCTTCGTGCCTTAGCAGATGCCAGTTCACCAGTTCTCCTGCAGTACAGGCTAGGTAACCATGTTTGCATTGGGACTGTTCTCACTGCTGCCTGTTGAAGCTGTGAACTTTGCACAAATAGAGTTTAGGAACTTCAGTAGGTGATTTTTCCTGTAAAATACATACTCAAAAGAAGGGGTTGTATAATCACCCTGTGTTTCTTCTCTGACCTTGTGAGTTTGTAGATTTATGTTAGCAAAGCTCAAAACTTACTAGAGATATAGCAAAGGGTCTTTCTGCATAGGGCCATTTCCAAAGAGATGAGACAGAAAATGAGAATTTTCTGGGGCAAGGCAGGTGGAGAATCCAAGTTTCTCTCTCACTGGTGAGTGCTCAATTATTGAGCTTTGGGATAAAGAACCCTTCTTTCTAACAGTGTGATTTAAAAGGAGAGAGTCTGCAGTGACTAGTGCCACTGCTCCCATTTGGTGTTTGCAGAAGCTAGTGGAGGCTATGTCTTTTGACCTGTATATGGTTTTCCATTGATGCATCATGGTCAATTTCTTTCAGAGAGAATGTTACTCTAAGAGATCAACTCTTCTCAGACTCACCTTTGCCATCTGATCTGCAGTGTTGCCTTTGGCTCCCAAATACACAGTAGCGAGGGCAGATGAAATACTGAAAGGGGAGAACAAGATGTTCTCATTGTCATCTTCCTGACACTCATGTTTGAATAAGTCAAGAGCAAAGCTTGTGTTTGCTTTATTTAAAGCTTCCATTGTTCTGAACCTGCACAGAAAGGGACGAAAGATGTTATTAGCTAAGAATTAGTTGTGTTTACCATATGTCTGCAGGCTTCCTTTCAGTATTTGAAGTTTATTTTATGATTTGTAGGTTTTCTAGAAGTATTTTCAACACTTATTGACTGTGGAAGATTGACAGTGCAGCACAGTGATCCTTTGAATGACTGAGAGTCACTGGCAGTGTATGTCCAAAGGCAAAATCTAGACTGTGCCAGTATTTTCCTCAGCTCTCCTCTGACTTCAGGAAACTGAATGAAAGCATTCTGACCTGTCAGCACTGGTACGGTATTCATTTCTGCCAAGTATGTGTGTTGTTTGTAGTGTATGAGTGAACTCTCCTTGGATCAGCAGAAGTTCACTTGGAAGGACAGGTATCCGTGCAAGGGACAGTCAAGAGGAACAAATGAAAATTCATCAAAATAACGTGATTGCAGTGTTGTACTAAAAGAAAAAGCATGCAATTTATAACTATATGGTGAATTCTATGTAAGCAATATCATGATATGGTAAGGATCTTACAGATGGAAAGAAGAGAGTGTCTCTATGAAAAATGAGGAGTATTAGCTACTAAAAGGTTATATGAAGTGTAGCATAGCCCATTTCACCAACGACACTAATCAAACTCAAATGATGCAGAAAAAGCAGCCTCCTATTCCATTCTGTATTTGTTCATCAGGACATTTATTGCACTGTTCTTTACAGTATCTTGGAGTGACATATGATAATGTTACTCACTGGTGCATGGGCTAGAAGACGCTGAGAGATTGTTTCTTATGACTACTGGTGCAGGAGCCTTTTGGTGCTCATAACTGTAGTGAGCAAATACTCTATTCCTTTAGGATACAAGAAAATATTGAAACACTAGGCAAGCAGTCTCTAACTACTGTGTGGTAAGAAATTTCCTGAATTCCATTTTTAACTTTCAAAAATTTCCTGAAACTGTGTCTTAGGGTGCTAGCTTCCCAGTTCTGCAAAACAAAATTTCCTTACTCAGTAGAACATAAGTGCTGTTCTTTGTTCTTTGCATTGCAGTTGAAGCTGAGAGCCTTAGGTATGTAATAGGAGCTATTCTGGTTTGCACAGAATGGCCATAAAGATGTACTGACTGTGTCTTGATGTACATGAGAACTGAAGAGCACAGGAACAAATGATCTAAGTTAAGCAAACACAGTGGTTCTTATTCTGCTATGATATACATGTCTGCCAGTGAGAATTACATAGAATAAGTTGCTCTTGCTGCATATTTCTCAGACTTGCTTCTTCTAGACCTTACCTATGCCATCTTAGTAAAATTCTTCCTCAAGTATTTGTTCTTTTCTATTCAGATTTCTTCTGCCTTTTTTTCTATGCATTTGTCAACATCACCCAAGAGTACATGAAATAAACAATCTCTAGAAATAATTACAGTACCTTATTTTGTGCAGGGAGGAAGACTGCTGCTCTGGGTCTGTCCAAGGTTTCTGCAGTTCAGATGGTGGGTAGGCTGAATTTATAGTCTGCCTGACCTGTTCTTCAAAGGTTCTTATGACTCATGACTTTGCAATTTATTTTGCCCTAAAGGCCACATCCCTATGGAAGAACTGAATCATCTCAGAGTAGGATGTGAAGTGACGGTGAGGGTAATACCATACAAGAACCTTACAAAACTGACTGCAGAAATATTTCTATAAACGTTTTTGTGGCAACAGGCTAGTAACAACTTGAACCATCACTGCTTGAAACAACATTTATTTTGCAATTTGGAGGCCAAAAAAATGCAGTAGCTGACCTACTTATGATTCCTCTAATAGAAACAGTTTCCGAAGAACAGAGAAAGGACAGTGACATCATATTTGTGAGTTTTTGTATTGTCCGTTTCCTAGTGATAAGAAGTTGGTCATTTCTGGTGGGCTTCTATTTTAGTAAAGTGGATTTTGTTAATCTTGGAGGATTCTAAAACTGTATAAGCAGGGAAGCATTTTCATTGTGAGATAACAAAGGTTGAGAAACACTTATCAGACACTTTTCTTATCGCTGCAGCAACACCAGAACCTGATGTGGGTTTCAGATTAGACTTGTTTGTTTTTTTTTCTGCTGCCTCAGTTTCCCTATTCTAAGTTGAAAGCAATTGTTTGCCCTTTGTAGCATTTCAGAGATGTATTCTTTACTTTCTCCAGAAACTGATATTCTATTGAATACTCTTTTTCTTCTTGCCTTGGCTACTGAAGCATTTCCATTGCTAATTCTCCTCACAGTCACACTGTCCTTACCTCCATTGTCCTGTCTATCTCAGCTCTCACCTCTGACTGAAAAATCCTATGTAACTCTGCCCCTTATTTCATTCTTTACCTCCTTGCTCTGTTGAAAATATCACCTTGAACACCTGGATAAGAGCTGCTTGTCTTTGAGGGATTCCTCCTCAATATTGAGAAAGACTCACCCCAAGGTCTGTCTTCTCAGTGCAAACTGCTTTCTGAAACCTTTCGTCTGCCCTGAGGTCTATGAATGTGCACGTGGGCTTATTCTGTAGAGGAGTGGCTGGCACAGTCTCTTGTGCTAAGGACTGAGCTATGGGATTATCTGCCAAATGTTTTATATGGCAGAAGAGGTTGCTCACGCAAAGGGAACCTTGCCAGTGGTGAACTTTCTGCATCAATGTGACTTGGGAACTCAGAGCTTTGCTGAAGATGCTTTCCTACAGGGGAACAGCCTCATAGCTTTAACAGGATGGCTCTTCCCTGCCTTCCGGCTGTTTTGAAATTGTAGCTACACAGAAACACCATGTTTCAGTGTGGGTTATAATTAGATGCATCTGTTAAGTTTTCCAGAGAGCACAGTAGTGTAGGAGAGGTGTTCATTGCAGAATTAATTGCTTCCATTGCGCCTGGGAAAGTTGTAATCTGTTTACATTGGCCTTAAATGGTTTTCAAAACTTTAAATGATTTGAGTCATCTTTGCAAATTTAACTGTGTTGTTGAACAAATGATAGATTCACTAAATAAACTTCATCCCTTGGAGCAGCGACTTGGATTTTCTGTTTTTAAAGCAGGGATGAATTTAATTTGCTAACTAGTCATAGTGCTTACTCTGTTACAAGAAGTGACTGAGCTGTTCCATATATGCAGAAATGTGGGATTTGAATGAATGAGAGGATGGTGTTTGTACAAGGTCTTAAAGTTGCCTTTTAAAAATGCCTTTTGAATAGCATGGCTGGTTATTAGTGGGGAAAAAAAAAATACATACAGAGTAGCTAAAATTGTTCTCACCTAAAAGGGAGATATACAGTAAATCAGTGTGATGATGATAACATTTTCCAGGATCCTGTGAAGTTACCAGCGCTAGAAGATACAGAGTTCAATGGGCGGTGCTGAGGCTGACTCAGGAGCGGTGGTTCCCTCACTCCCACTCTATACTAAGTCAACACTCCAACATGCTCAAAGACTTACGTTTGTATTGGTAGTATCCTTCCTGTGGGAAGTAAGCCTGTGGCTCATTCACTGTGGTCATTCATGTTTCCATTTTGGCAGTACAAATATTGGCAGCACATCAGGCACCCCGGCCAGATCTCAGCTATATAAGCACATTTTGTTTTCCTTCAGTTTCCTTGCAGCTTAGCACAAGCCAATAGAACTTTCTTGCACAGTATGTTGCTCAGTTCGTTGGTACCTGGGATCAGGAATAGGCTAAATACCTGACGTCCACATAGATCATTTGTAAAGTGATCTAAAAGTACTTAGGGGTTTTGAGAGAAAGATTTCATAGCTTCTGCTCTCACACAGTATTTTAGAATACAACATGCCATGTATGGTTTTTGTGTAGGTATGCTGCCAACCTGTGCTGTAGGTATTCAGCCAACAGAGCTTTCTACGCATGTTTTTGGCTCAGCCAGAACAGGGCAGTAAGTTTTAAACATGAAAGGATTTTAAATGTCCCAAACCATTATAAGGACTTCAGGAGATAAGAGGGGTGGGGAAGACAAGAGTTTTGAAACCTGAGAATACTGGAATCCTGTGGGAGGGCAGCTTAACATTTAGTTTCATAACAATCCTGTAATTCTCAAGGGCCAGAACAGTACAGGGAATAGGAGCACAGAGACTGAAGTGGTGGTAATGGTGATCAGTGATTGTGTGCTTGGAGTGAGTACATGGACTTTGGTGTGAGAAGGAACCCTTTTGTCACAGAATGCAGCAAGAGCTTGTCCTGACCTTGTAAATTAAAGTGTAACAATGGTGTATAGGTCTCAGCTGGAACGGTTGTAACGGATTCTGATTTATGTCCCAAGAGATTTTTATGTGGAATAAATTTGTATCATTGTGAAGTTTCAAATAGCTTTTAAAGTTCAAAAGAAATTACTTCTTTGAGTAGCTTATTTCCCTTCAAAGCTTTGAGTGAGAACACATGCGTCTTTATTTTGAAACAGTGTAGATAGATATCTAATGTGTACGTATTACATGTACATTCGCAAGCCTTCCCTTGCCAAGCAATCTTTGCTGACATACTCCAATAGCATTTAGACTTTGTGAGCTGTTAAGAGGTGTGGTGGTGTTCCTGTCTAAATATTACTGAGGCATTTTGCTCCACACCTGCCGAAAGCAAAGGCGTGGTGAGATTTGGCGCATGAATTGAGCACTGGCATAATTTGTCATACTGTACTATAACCACTGTGTGCTTTAGCTTAGATGCTGTAATTAGTAAAGGCAGTGTTTCTCCTGAGATATTCTGTTCTGATGACCAGTGCAACACTTCTGGGGAAGCAATGATCTCGATATCTGAAAAGAGATAAGTTTATATGGAAATTAACATGCATGCTGTTCTCACATCTACCGGTGTGCAGTTTTCCTTTGAATGAATCAGATGTTGGGCATTTTTTAAGTAACCAAGGTAGCAGTTAAAACCAAAAATATGAAGAATAGCCTGAATTTCATGCTGTGCAGTACTCCGTTGCGAGTAATGGTGTATGTGTGGATTGCATGCACTTTAGCCTAAGCATGTCATTTTTCTGAAGAAATCTCTCAAAGGGTGTAACTACATCAGCTACACAACTGCTGAATCAGAAAACCAATTCCTGCTCCTGAGCAGGAGTCACGCATGGATGTGCAAGAGCAGCATGTAGAGGAAAGGCTCTCTTTTGGGAAATTAGTTTGAACACTTGCTATTTCTTCATGCAGCTTGACCACAAATACTCCTGTGTGGTGGAATAACCAGAGTTTCATAAGGCAGTTGATATTTTCAGAAGTTTCAGCAGTGAAATGTTCGAATACTCATTTGTGAACACATACTGGCAATCTTTGCTATTTACACATCTGCTTGGCCCCTTATTCGTATCTCTATTTTCACACATTTTAGGATGGGATTGATCTGAGCTATCTAAGTGTACCTGTGCATGCAGCAAGTCTTTGTCCTGGAATGCAGTAACCCTTTAAAGGGAGGAATAGAATTTTCCCTTCATATTGACAAAAATCTTGGACAAGATAGAGTGTCATTTTTTAGTATCATTTGAACATCTCTTATCATGCCTTCATCATTGCAAGATTTTTTTTCATCCTTCCGTCTCTTACACTCTGCCTGTTCAATTAAGCATCTTAGTCTCTTGAGACCAGGTGTGCTTTTTACACAATTCAAGTTAGCAAGTTCTGCATAGCAGTGACCAAATAGAAATTAATGATGTGGTGTACACCAAGTGAAACAAGATGATCTTGTATTCCCTTCTGCTCTCAGGCAAAATGAGATACAAAGATTTTGTTCCTCCAGCCTTTGTGAGGGATGCATCTTTTGTCCCACAGAAAGGTGAACTTTCTGGATTTTGTGCTGAGGACCTTCTTTTGAAATCTTCTAATGATCACATGCTTTTCTTCATCTCAGCACTTCCAAGCTCTTTGAAGCTGTTCTTTCCAGTTGGGATTCAGCTATGTGCAGACTTTTAAGGCTTTATTATATTTTAGGCTGGTGCACCTTCAGACTTCTTTCTCTTTCAAAGATTAAAGCTAAACTCCAGATGTGTTGCTTAAAACTAGTGGCATTGTTCCCTTAAACTGCTCTAGACTCTTCTTTCTTCTTGTCAATCCCCCTTCATTTTCCAGACCCCTGGATCTGGAAAGCCTTCAGAGGCTTTCTTAGTACCTCCTGATTTTGCAGTTGCTAATTGTTTCTCTGGGAACATAGACCTAGCTGTAGACAAGGCCTCTTTAACGTGGACTCTGCAGCACAGAGGAAACATTTGACTAAGGAAAGCTAGCAGATTGCATGTAAGGAGAGGCAGAGCCCTTGCTTTGTGGCTGGAGCAATGACATTGATCACCCTCCATCCCCCACCTTCTGCAGACGCAGCTGAAATGCAGCTTGGACTAAGTAGTTGAGCAACACAGGAAAAAGGCTCTCCTCCCACTCTCAAACCTTTATCTCCCTGGCATTTGCCCTCGTAGAGACAGAGCTTGAGCGCAGCTCTGCCCTTCTAACTTCACTACCTTAAGAAGCAGGTAGAGACTGCTGAAGGACAGGGAGCAAAAAGGAGGACATGATGAGGATGGGAATAGGTAACAGCTTGGAGAAGGGGCGTTACTGGAGAGTAACAAACTGTGCTCACAAGAAATGAGGCAGCAGAAAATCAGTAAGGAAGAGAGCTGCTCTTACAGCCCTGTGAAAGTTAATGGTACCTCCACAGCATCCCTTGTTCATCTTTAAT